TTCAATCAAAAAGATATTTATGAATGCCTATTACATGTTAGGCCTTCAAAGTTGAACATAAATTATTTTTTTTTATAAATTATTGCCCTTTAAAGCATATTTTAGATTGATTTTTAATTGACAGTAACTCCCAATACTTTAGCATTTGTTGGAGTAAGCAATACTTTAATTCAATTTAATTTCTCATAAAGAAATCTGGACTTGCAAACCTTGGTTTGAATACCACTTTTGCCAATGATGGGCAGTAAGGGTATCGGTAAGCTACTTAACATCTTTGAGCCTCAATTTTCTAATTTGTAAAATGGGAACAACGATACCTATAGATTTACCTCATTTGATCCTGTTTGTAAAACATTTCATATTGTTAAGTTTTGTCATTCAGCAATTTTTAGCATCTATTTTACATTTAGAAATGCAATGATGATACAAATATCTTGTCACAAAGAGTAGGAGAGTTGAGACCAGCACGTGAAGTGACTATAATTTACTTTTGAGTGTAGTGACTGCCATAACAGTGCTTCTGCAGAACCCTCACTTAATCTTTTGGAAATAGAAGGATCTTTTGTAATTTGAATTAATATTCTCTAATTTAACTATGTAGTAACTAATGTTATTGTCTTAGAAGCAGACATGTCTGAAATTATCTTGTTCTAGATCTTTGACTTTGACTAAGCTTGCATTATATCAGTTTGCATACCTAGTGATTTTAGGTTATAGGCTAATGGTATAAAGTAGTATTGAATGTTAGTAATGGGAGGAATTTTAGAGATCCATCTCATTTTATAGAGGAGCAAACTGATACCTAGAGAGTTTAACTGATTCGCGTAAAGTCACACAACCAGCTAGTTGAATAGCTAAGAATAAAACTCCCATTCTCTGCATCACAGTCAAATACTCTCTCCAGAACAGCACAGCGCCTTTCTAAAATGATGTGTTGGCCAATTTGCAGACTCTAGGATGGTGGCATGCAGTGGTTCAGTTCCCATGTGCTAAGCAATGGCTGAGCCATCTGGCAGCCCACCCTGCAGTGAAGAGCTGGTGCTCTGACCAGGAGGCCTGTGCACTGTACCATAGCATGCAGACTGGCTCTCCATGCCTCAGCTTCTGAGGCCTGTCTGAGACCTGCTGGGGGACTCTCACAATGACTTTCCCCTGTACTGCTGGGACTGTGGCCCCCAGTACTCAGTGCAACAGGTTGCTAGTGATATAGATGTGTAACCTCCATGGAACCCAGAAAACTGAGGCCTCTGAGGACAGTGAGAGTGAAAATGAGGAGGAGGAAGAAGAATATGAAAAGAAGAAACCCCAACTGGAGCTGGCTATGGTCCACTACTATGAAGGCTTTAACTGTGTCTAGGTTGCATGTCTCAGCGAAATCCCTGTGGCAGGAATATGGTCTGAGAAAGGCCAGGTGGAGGTGTTTTCACTTCATAGGTTCTGGAGGCAGTGAATGATCCCCAGGTCCTGGCACTTTCTTATAGGATGAGCAGGACTAGACCTTGCCCTAATTTACCTTTTTGGCCACTTGCCTAACAGCTTTGCCCTGGACTGGTCCCCCCCATCCCTCCAAGTGTTGCCTGGTTGTAAAAAAAAAATACATTCACCTACCAATGAGGGTTCTGGGTATGTGGACCCATTCCTGCTCTCTAGAGGATCTGTAGTGGTCACCCACTGAGAACATGGTGTTTGCATCATGTTTAGCTTATGCCTTCATCCAGATATGGAGCATGTGGGCAGTGCCAAGTAAGGCCTGCATGCTCATGGCATCATCTGCTCATGATGAGGATGTAAGTGTCATCATCTAGAGTATTGGGAGATTTTCTTTTTTGCTCAACAGAAGTGACAGTGGCACCCTCAAAGTCTGGAATTTCAGTCAGTTCAAGACTGGCACCCCATTGGCCACCTTCAAGCAACTTCAATGCAAGTAGCATCTGTGACCTCCATGGGGTGGCATGGTCATTGCAGAAGCAGGAGTAGATGACCATCTTATGCAGTGGGATCTGGTGGTGGAGTTGGACCTGGAGGCAGGAAGTGCAGAGTTTGAGGGAGATCCCCTGGTGGCTGAATTTGCTTCACCAGTGGCTGTTGTTCATGCACCAAAGTGGGGCGGATATCAGGGAGCTACACTGACATCCTTAGTGTCTGGACATCCTCATCATCATGGATTTGTTTGGCTTTGCTGTCTTTAGCATCATCAATGTCTGATCCCTGGACCTTCTGTTGGAATCTGGGCTGCATTTGTCCCATTCCCCTCTTGCTTGAAACAGATTGGGATGCCCTACTCCATCCAATAGAAGTAGCCCTTATTTGCCCCATCTGTCTCACAAAAAGGTTATCTTGCCTGTTTTCTTCTATAACTGGATATTCTTCAACCTCTCTCCTTCTGGGAAGACTCGGTTTGGAACCATTTGCCTTCAGAAATGGGGAGTGGCTTGGCCTGCCTTCCCCTCCCTCCTAACCACCATGCAGAAATTTGGTTTGGCCTACTTGCTTTCATGACCGTACTGGCTTCCACACACTCCAGTGTACTTAGATGGTTCTTGTTTTCCCAAGGACTTGAACAGAGGAGGATGTACAGGGTTTGAGGTTCAGAGGAGGGGAGGGTTCCTTGGATATGGATGTGTGTGTAATCAGTAAAAGAGGAGAGGATGAAAGAAAAACATGTGTCAAATGTACTCTCCGTTTGTGGTACTCCCCCAAATTGCACTTGCACTGGCATATTAGGGACCCAGAGGAGCTCATTATTACTCTCAGCTTTGTAACAGTAACCCTGAAGGACTATGTTTCTAATACTGTAGCTCATAATCTCCCCCCGTGTGCTTCCCACTAAGAATCAGCCAGTTGTTTCAGTTGCCTTTTAGAAAAAAGCATTTACCAAGGAAGTTTAACAAAAATAATTGGTTTAAAGTATTCCCCAAAACTTTAAAAAAATGTTAAAAATTGTTTTAATATATAATTGGGGGGAAGTAATATGATTTTTTAAAAAATTAAAATAAAAACATTTCCTCTAATTTCTGGGTTTGGGGGGGTGGTACCCCTATGTGGCAAGCACTAAGAATATAAATACAAAAATGAAGACAGTTCCTGCTATCACAGAGCTTACATTCTAATAGATGAGATAGCACACTTACAGGGGTAGTAGCCAGGTAAGTAAACTTTGATCCTGAAAATTACTTAAGTGGTGAATGGGGCCACAAAAGAATAGTTTGATCACACCCCAAAAACTGTCATAGTTGATTTGCTCATAGTTCTAGAACTGAAAGGGGAAGAAGGACATACATGTGAGAGTAAGATAGTTGGCAAGGCTTTGGAGATGTCCGAAGAAAAGAGAATGAAGTGAAGCATGGTGGCTGGGATTTCCTGAAATGTTGGTTCAGGTAAAACAGTCACCAGTCAAGTCAGTGAGGCACCAAGTGTTAAGATTAGGCAAGGTTGTAGAGGAGATGTCCAGAGGGTAAAGAGTGAAGTAAAACATATACACCGAGTATAACTTGGGAAAGTATGATCAAATATAGAATACAGAGGTATTGAAGTATGTATGTATGTATGTGTGTGTGTGTGTGTGTGTGTGTGTGCGTGCGTGTGTGTATAAACTCATATTTTGTTTGTGTGGATAAAGGGATGATAATTCATTATTCCTAGTACTGCAGATATTTTCTCCCTTTGTGGGGTTCCCTTAGGTGTAGCTCTGCTACGCGTCTACACTTTTCTAGAGTCCATAGCTAGCAAATATCTCATTCCCGAGGCATCACACTCCGAAGCTGCTTTACAACTCCTGCTACGAGAAGATCTGTGTCCCTTCATAGACTACTTCACTACCTCCATTTGTCTTTGATGAGCTTTATTGCTTCTCATTGGAAGTCAAAAGCCTCTCTTTCTGGTTCTATCTCTCCAGTGACATAATCAGAAGCATGGTGAGAGAGACAGAGACAGAGACACAGAGATAGTTTCCTCTCACCCAAGAGGAATTCCCATCTAAAGAACTGGTTCCAACTCTTGAACTGCAAACTTCAAATCCCAAAATGAAATCCTCTACCTCTGGACTGGTCTACTGTTTTTAGATAGGGTACTTATTAAGTACTTACCAAGTTCCAATCACTGTGCTAGGTGTTAGGGATATACAAGCAAGACAGCCGTTGCCTTCAAAGAGCTTACATTCTAATAAGGGAGCAAAAACCTACAAGGGTTTGCCATGGCGTGGTGTGTAGATGGTCAGGAAGTGGCATGAAAGCCTGGTTTGTGGGGGGAGGAAGACAAGATGAGGAAAACCTCAACTTTCAGAGCCTGATCTCCAACGTGCAGCATCCAAAGTGCTGATGGGGAAAAGCTGTTTCAGTTAGCATAGTGAGTTAATGGGCCCTGGTATAGAAACAAGGGCCTAGACTTTGGAGTCAGAAGGCAACTTCAAATCCTGTCTTTGCTCTCGGTCACCTATGTGTCTTTAGGCAAGCAACTTCTTTGCTTCAGTTTCCTCATGTGAGAAGATGAATTGGAAGGCAGCTATTTTTTTTAAATCAATCACGGAACTTAATATCCTAAAATAGAAGTGTCAAGTGGCCTACTCCTGAGTGACATGGGACCATATTAAAATATAATTGGGAAATATTTGACAAAGAAAAGTACAGTATAACATAATTTCAGTACTTTATATCAGTAAATACCTAAAATTTCACCTAAAATATCACCTTTAGTTTTTGTTTAATTGACCTGAAATATACTTAATGACATTAATGTTTGAAAACATCAGATTATTTAGAAATTCTTCAGCAGGTAAATTGAAATGAGTATGTACAACTGAGAGAAAGACGTTTGATTAAGTGTTTCTTTCAGTATGAAATACTTAAAGCAACATTTAGGACTGTGTGAAAAGACTGTTTTCTGATTACATGTGATGCTTTTTTTTTTTTAAACACTAGTCTCAAGCAAATGGGTTGAAAATCATGGCTGGTAGTAATGGGAAATAAATTATATCCTCATTGTCTGTCTCTCAATTTCTTTAGGAGGTGATTTCCTCTCCTTTTTGAGAAAGAAGAAAGATGAACTAAAACCCAAACAGTTAGTGAAATTTTCATTAGATGCTGCTTCTGGTATGGCGTATCTTGAGAGTAAAAATTGTATACACAGGTAAGGAAAATGATAATTTTATAAGGTATATTTCCCCCACTGAATAGCTGTAGAATAAAGGAGCATAATACTACAAAATTACGATAACCACTTCCTTAACATGACATCTGAATTGTTTGAAAAGATTAGATCTAGATTTAAAGTTTCTAGGCTTTCTGTTAAAGGATTGTGGTCTTTGTTAATTTTTAATCCTATATGTTTTTTACCTTTTTTTTTTTACAAACCCCAAACTCTAGTATGCATTTATTCATATTTACTTTCATTAAGGTTTGCTAGTTTGAGAAGGAATTACTTACTGAATGAGGATTTATTTTAATATAATTACAAATAATTTAGTGACCTTGAAATCTACCAAAATAATCATCTGCAAGTCTTTGTTTTATCACCAAATTGATATTTTATTATCTTATTATCTCCTAATTCCCAAAGAGACTTAAAAAAAAGTCATGTAAGTTTACAGAAAAGCACAAATTCATTGTTTATCTATGAATTCAATTAAGGGTTAAAGACAATAGAATTCTCATTTTTAATGGAATTAGAGAAAATTTTATCTGATTTGTAATGTTGGCCTATTCATACTCCCTTATGCTGTAGGTAATGGTATAAAACACTTGCAATTAAATTCAGTCATATAATCATAGAATTTAGATCTAGAAGGCAACTTAGAGGGAGATAATCTAATCCAGATTTGTATTTTTAGACATAGAAGCTAAATTCTTAATCCTAGCTTTCAACAAAACACAAGTTCTGTTTACAAAATTTTGTGATATTCTAAGTAAGGATAGCTCTGTAAAATGAAACCAAAAAACCAAATATATATTGTAACTGTGACAACATCATTTTCTTTTGAGTAAGATTCAGTGTCTGATGGGCCCATCATAAACTTTAGCCAAGAGATTTAGTTATAGGGGCAGCTAGGTGGCGCAGTCGATAGAGCACCGGCCCTGGATTTAGGAGGACCTGAGGTCAAATCCAGCCTCAGACACATAACATTTACTAGGTGTGTGACCATGGGCAAGTCACTTAACTCCATTGCCTAGCCAAAAACAAAAACAAAACCCCAAGAGATTTAGTTACTATTAGATAAAGTGATCATTGTAATAAGTTAGACCCATAGCATGGATTCTAAAGCTGTTATAATGAATTTCTACCATCTGCTCAATTTATGTTGAAAATATAAATTACTTTTCCTAAATGTGTACTATTAACTGATTTGGGGTTTTTTTGGGGGGAGGAGGGTGAGAGGGTGGTAGAATGATAGGATGGGAAGAAAAGCTGGATAATTGGCTTGTTGTTCCCTAAAATCATAGGATTTAGGCCTGGGAAGTACCTTAGTGATAATCTACCCATAACAAAGATATCAGTGCTTAATACCTTCTTAAGAACTCAAAAGATTGAAAATAACACACTTTTTGAAAAATACACCTATGAGTTCATTGGCATAGAGAACTGATAAGTAAACTCCCTCTACCAATTTAGATGTTATCTACTCTACAAAGTATAGTGTTAAAGAGTTGCTTCTCTAGGAGTTCCTCCAGCAACGGGGAAAAAAATCACCAAAAAAAACCTTATCCAGTATTGACAACTATATAATAATAAACAATAATACTAGATTTAGAAATATTTAAAACATTCTTACTGTTTGTAGTCAGTAATTCAAGTTCATGGCAATAAAGAATTTACTAATCTTTGACTTTTTTGAGATATGAAAGAACACAGTATAAAAAAAGTTTTTAGGAACACTCATAAATATTACTGAAGAGTTCATTAGTTAAAAACAAACAAACGTTAAAAGCCACTGACGGTCAATTGATAAAAATGTATATGATGTTAACCTTCCATTCACTCAATTCAAAAATCTAACTTCATATGTCAACACATAAATAAATAACTTTTTTCCCCATTTGCACCTAGAGAATCTAAAATAAGCCATCTTATATGAATAAAAACAAGAGAACATAACTTGGTCCTTTAAGCACAAAGAAAAACATTTCACTGAAAATTGCAACAAAGAAAGTCCAAAATCTATTCGCAATTGATTAAAAACTAAACCCAAACAAAAAATGTCCAGAAACTTTCATACTAAACCACAATAATTTCAATTAGAATAAAAATTTCTAGAGAACTATCTTAGAAGTTAAATGGAAAATACAATGAAATATTTTCCAAAAAACAGACCATTTCTTTATGCAGTTACTTGCTTACATTTTACAGTTGCTATGCTGGGATTTTCTGTAATGAAATAATGCTAAAGTCTTCTCACAGTCATCAAAAGTATAAACCTAACCAAGACGCTACAGAAAGAAAATATACTTAACAGTTTAAAATGTTGCTACTCTTTGAGACCAGGGCAGAAAAAAGATTTTCAAGTAGTGTCTGTGATTTTGATATAGGCTTAATTAAACTATAACCGTTGCCTGGCTTATAGTTTTTATATCTCTTCCTATGCTATGTACGTGTACACACATACATATATGATATATTAGCTTCTTGGAACCTTTTGACTCACTTTCAAGTTTGCAGGTAGGCTAAGAATAGACGATTGTATTTCCAAAAGCAGCAGAATAAACCCCAAATAATTGTATGTCCTTGTTGTGGTCAGGAGAGGAGGTGAAAGAATAATGTGGAGCATGAGTGTGATAATCCCTGGGAACAATGGGATAAAATATTGGGATAAAAAAAGACTGAGAACCACAGCATTCAAATATTATTAAATTAAACTAATCCTATTATCTCTTCTTGGGCAAATGCATTTTAAATTTCATTTGAACTTGGCATTCAATATCCTTTTGAACTACTCCTATTCTTGATGAAATATAAAAGGTTTTTTTCAATAATGGGTTAATTCAAAGAATCTTAATATTAGCAGCATAAAAAGCACAAATTATATTTAACCTATGGTCATACTTATATTTCTCATTGACCTTAGCTTGACTGATGACAGTTAAAAAGAAGTGAACTTTTCTGTTTTTCCTGAACAAAAGTACTTAGAGTATTATCTTTTTTGAAACCATTTAATATGTAAATTTTTAGCCATTGGGGAAGAGAGATGCATTAAGAGACACTAAAACACAGTAAGCACAAAGAGGAATTTTTTTTTGAATAGTTGAATTGTTTTTAAACATTTTAAATGAACCTAATAGTGAAGGCTACTACTAAAGTGATATTTCTAGAAATTGAAGTCCATTGTTTTTCCACAAGGCAGATCCTATATATAGGTAATGATGAATACATGATTCCCCACTCACTGCATTAATCTCCCTGCCCTCTGAGATTCAAGGACTCCTTGAAACTTATTGGCATATTAACTTTCTAATCTAATTGATCACAATTTACTGGATATTTCAATAATAAGACATGGATATTCAGAAATATTTTAATATTAATTCATGTCCCTTAAGACTCTACCTCTCCCCCACTAATAGTTGTCAGTAGTTAATGCATTTTCAGTTAGCATTGCTCTTTTTATGGCAGAATAATTGGACTGGGTTAGTGAGGGATCTAAGCCAGGAATGGCATTGGTGAAGAAAAGGCATACTGTAGGCAAAGGTGTCACATAAGAGGTCAGCTGAATAAGAAGCAGAACTAAGGATGGAAACTTGATCAACAAAGACTCGGGTCAAGTAGCTTAGGTAGGAAGCTGGGCTATAAGCCTAAGTCTTACCATATCGTTCCTCTGCTCAAGAAGCTTCAGTGCCCTTCCCCTCACCTACCTTATTGTCTTTACGCTAAAATACAAACTCATTTTTTACATTTAAAAGTCTTTTCAATATAACTCTAACCTGATTACATGTTTTTCCTCTTAACATACTCTCTGCTCCAACATAACTGACTTTCTTGCTATTCATGATGAAGAAAATGATGAGGTTCAGGACTTGGGTTGTCCAGAAAGAATTCAAGAGGCAGATATTCTTCTAGTCAAGAGACCTTTATTGAGGCAAAAACAGCAAGCTAGCCCTGGAAGAAGGACTAGCAATTTGCAGAGGGACAGGGCTTGTTTTTATGCACAATTTTTGGGCAGAATATGCTTCTACATGAATAGTTAATTGCAGGAAAAAGGTGTCAGGAAGAAGAAGTAGGTGTGTTGGGTGCATTTCAAAACAGTTCAAGGATGTGTTCACTAAACAAGAAACTTAGCTTGCTCCGGTATGGGGGGTTAATGATATACATAGAACATGGGCTGAGAAAATAAGGTTGTTGTTGTCTGAGAGAGCTTCCTGTTACTAGGCAGATTTAGATGAGACCCTCATAGTTTCTGGGCAAAAGTCAACCTCAAAAGTTCCCATTTTTCTGGGCAAAAGTCAGCCTCATTATTCCCCCCTCTAACTATTGGTAAGAAAAATCTTTAGAGACATGGGTGGCAGTCTCTTCTTTGGTAACTGCTTCCTGCTGGGAGGGGGTATAGAGTTGTCCCTACCTGAGTGAGGGTGGGGAAAGGAGTAAAATGATGCTAAAGCAGCTTCCAGGGGATGAAGAGAGTATAGAACAGGTGCTCTCTATTTCTTTCTCTCTCTGTCAAAATATACATATACGCACACACACACACACACACACACACACACATATACACACACATATACACATATATATGTATGTGTATTCTCTTATAATAAGACATGTTTGTACAACAGGACAAACTGTATAAACAGGTATTATTTCCAAAATAGTAACAAATTTTGAATGAAATTGACTTTTCCAATAATGCAAAAATATTACATAAGTTACTTCCCTCTAAGAAAAATTGATTGCACTGAAGTTCTCTTCCCCAAACCAAACTGAAGATGTTTCTGATTTAGTTTCAGTTGTTAATAAAATAAGCTAGGTCCCTCAATCGGTTGTACCACTACCCAGTTATTCTTAACATCATTTTGAAACATTTAAGGACCTTATTCCATACCAACATATATCTAGTAACAGGCAGGTGACAAGGCTAAATACCCATTTGCTAAGTTGTTTAGGATATAGAAAAGAATATAATACTAGGCTGAATAGCTCAGATC